TAACTTATCTTAGATAGATACAGCCTGAAACTATTATTTAACTACCTAACAGTAATATAAAAAAGACCAATGTATACTTTATGCATGTACTTTTATGATGTCTATTACCAATAAGAATAATGAAGATAAATTTATACAAAATAGAAGACAGCACTTCTACTATATATTATGTTTATATATTATACATTACACTTTCTTTTCTGTCTTATTTTATTTTTTGACTTAGTATGAACAGTATTTTAATCCTGTTTGATTTAACCTGAGATGGGTCTAACCCTGTATCCCCATAGATAGTTTTTTTTTTAAGTGTTATCAGTAAATATTGTTTATGAATTGCTTTAAACAGTTTAAGGGCTTCCATTTAGAAATGCTTGAATAATTCAAGGTTAATAAGATTCACCATACTCACAATGAGGATTTGGTTGTGGACATAGCTAATTGCTAAATTTTATTCAGCTTTAAATGACACTGGCTGCAAATCAGCTCATAGCTTAATACTACTGGCAACTCCAAATGGGGAAGAAATATTGTTACTTGGATTCTAGTTATTTTTATGGGTTATGACTCACTTCCATCCGTTCAAATATTGATGCTCAGACATTGGATATTAGATTCGCTCACAAACAACAAAGGAAGGTGAAAAACAAAGTTGAGGATATTTTTTAATGTCATGGTAAAAAGTCACAGTTCATTTGCATTTCATCCTTGTTTCAGTGGAATTTCTGATTTTCATGCAAAAGAACAATAGATTCCTATCAGAAAGATTTTCTCCCGACAAAGTTTAGAATTCCAAAAATAGTCTTTGAATAACAGTGTCCACACCCTTCTAAGCCATTGCACCAAAGTAACAGTACTATGATGTATTATTCCCTTATGGTAACAGATATCATTGAAGCTGAGCTGTAATTTGGCACACAACATTTCTATACTAATGTAATGTGACAATGTTACTATGTTCACTATTTTCTGTGTGATCATAGGCATATTCATCTTCTCCAACCTGACATTAAATGAGCTAATATAGTTACATTCTATTTTGGACCACTGGGTGTAAGCAGAAAAGGATTCTTGTATAGCTCACTGGTTTGATGATAGTGAATAGGTGTGCGAACATGAATAGATGATACATAAAATTTATATAATGTATGGAAACGCTTAGCACAAATCTGGCACATAGTAAGTGCTCAGTAAATGATTACATCCCAGAGAAAGTTCACAAATAGCTACAACATACGCTGCAGTGCAGCACATTGTTGCCCTAAGATTTCAGTCGAGGAAAATGTAATGCCAAACTCAGAAAACTAAGGAAGTTTCCATGGGACAAAACAGTTGAAGTAGAGGTTGAAAAGGAAATTATATTTCTTCAAGCAGAGATAGCGAAAGAAATGCATTCCAGGTGGAATGAGTGCATTTTCCAGGTGGAGAAATTAGCATAAGCAATGGTGAGGAAATTGGAAAGTGTAATGTTGTTCAGAAAGCTATGAGTAAGTAAATTGGCAGTAACATGCCATATGGACAAGGCTCTGCAATAGATAAGTATGGAAATGAAGGCTGGGGTCAGACCATCAAGGTCCATGAACTCCAGACTGATTAACTTGGAGAGTAGTGTTGACCACTGAAGATATATTAGAAATCCCTATACAAGTTTCATGCATCTAGTGAATATTGATTTAGTTAATTACTATTATCACCAATTAGATGCAGCATACTAAACAAAACACTGGGCGTTTAAGCCAAGAAAAGAGAGAAAAATATTGTTCCTTGGAGAAGCATACAATCCTAGAGGGAGATAAGGCTGAACAAAAGTAACTGTAAGGTAGAAGGTAATGGGTGATAAAATAGCATAAACAAAGTTCTACAGAAAGTCAGAGAGGAAAAAATATTGCCTGGTTAAGAGAATTAAGAGAGAATGATGACATTTAAACTAGAGAGAATGGAAGAAAGAACACAACTGATAGAAAAGCACAGGATGGATTAGAGAAGGGAGAAATAAGAAGTGGGAGATAACCAAAAAATTAAACCAGAAAAATAATATAGAAGAGCTAAAAATTTGGTATTGATATGGGTGAAAAATTGAGGAGCTGAACATATGATATTACCGTATACACACAAACATACACACATACACACATACACACACACACACACACACACACACACACACACACACACACAGTACTTGTTTTTGCCAATGAGATAATTTAGATGGTAATTTTCCAGAGAAGAAAGGGTTTCACAGTTTCTTTAAAAACAGCCTTTGGCATCATTTTGCCTAGCAACTCTTTTCTTGAAAGATTTCTTTCAGTTCAATTAATTAGTATGATTTATCCAAGATTACATTTACAAGGTATAAAGTATTCCCATCTTCCCATTGTTAATTATATCTCCAGGCTAACATAAATACAATTTTCTAGTTATCCTAACCCACCCTATGAAACTTATCACAGAGATGACATTTAGAAATTCTATTTTTGGGGAAGGGGGTCTCATTTGTAATGTGGTATGTCCTTTCCCCTCTTACAAAGTTTTATTTCTATTTTCTGTTTTGTTTCTTATTAAGTTGGAGGCTACAGTCACAGAATTTATGAATAAATAACCAAGCTAGAGACAAAAATTTCATTAAGAAATGAAATGTCCTAAATGGCTTTTTAAAAAAATAAAATAAAGTAAATCTCTATACAGAAAAGGAGTTTGTTAAAAATCCCAGGACTCACACTAATTCTATTTGTGTAACTTACAGAAAAAACAGTGCGATGTAGAGACAAGACTTATTTTGATCAATTTAAAAAGTGAGGAAAATGTCACAAGATACTTCTATTGCCATGTTATTTGCATAGTTTTCAAAGTAAAAATTTACTACTCTATCTTCTACAAATTATAATGGATATAAAATAAGATGTGCATTTAAATATTGATTTGTAACTACGTATCCTCACCACCAAAAATCCAATGTACAAACCAAGAAACCATTTCACATTTCCAGAAAACCCACTAAGAGGTAATGATTTAATCAAAATGCATGTATTCTGAGAGCTCTCCAAAGTAATTTTAATGCTGTTTTGTGCAAGAGGCATATCAGAAGACACATTTATGGAATGACATTTACCTATTTACAAGAAAATAATAAATAGCCTTATCATTGTCATCACCAGTAGTATCACCCAAGAGCAGCATTAAAATAGTTTTCTGTAAAAATGACTCGAAAACAGCATGATACTCGAGGTCGAATCTTGATGTTCCTTTAGGAAAAGTCTAACAAATACATACAGAAAATTATATTCTTTATATTTAACTGGTATATGAGGATACACAGTCTGCCACAACCAAATGGCAACTGTTTTGTAAAACATGGAAACTAGATTAAGCAAAGTTTGGCAGAAAAACTTCTTTAGCAAAATGAAAAATATTTTCACACCAAAAAAGCCTTCTCAACTACCACATGTAGTCATACATCTGTCAGGATCAGAATCAGGATAAAAATTTGCCATGATAAAAATCCTAATAAATTTTCAGTCTTCTAGTTTCCCTTAAAATAAGTTTATGTCATTTTCTATGGGGCAGGAGAAAATGCAAGAAGTCACCTCCCTGTAGACATGTATGCATATCTTTATTAGAAGCACAGATAAGGTGTTCATATTTTCTTTGCTTTATGTATATGTAAGTATTTGTTTGGACTTTATGTAAAGTTACTTATAGAACCCCAAATGGGGTTATTGTTTGTGTGATTTAATTTGCAGAAATACAGTGTTTGCAAATGTATGATCATTTGAATTCAAGTTTATTTCTGTAAACTTACTATAAATCTATGGGAGGTGACACTATAGAATGGAGACCAAATATTTCTTTATTCATGGTAGCATGGTCATTAAAAGCCTCTCCCAAGTGTAATTTTACTTAGTATTAGTTGTCTGTTTTTCCTATAGTTAACATTTTGGACAGGATATCTGAAGACAGCTTGTGAATTGAACTATATTGCTATGCTGCAAAAACTCAGTTCAATGGAATAATTTAGTTTGACCCCATTGTTGACATTGTGATAAACATATTTTTTGACACGAATAGAGTCACAAATGGACAAAGGTCAAAATGAACAAACTCTAGTCTTTAAATCCACATTTAAATCCAGCCTCTTGTGGGAAGTCCAAACCTTTAATTCCTGTATCCTCTATCCCATCATTCTGGAGTTTTAGCTTAAATACTGTAGCACTGACCACATCAAGCTTGTACTCTAGCTTAAAACCAGGAGGCTTTGTCAGGAACAGTCTCTTAATATAGCAGAATGCAATGTTTTATAGGAAATGCTTTTATCATTTTGATGGAGTACGCTAAATATGGATCTCTTTGAACATTAAGACACAGAACTTAATTCTACAGGCCAATTAATTTCATCTTCAAATCCTCACTGCTATGACGTTAAATTAGGTACTAGCAAATATGCCATGCTATAATGTGAATGTTGTGTTTTATTGCCATGTTTATATTGTAAGACTAAAGAGGTAAAAACCACAACTGGCTAAAACACAAGAGCAAATACCTGAAGACCAAAGTTTAAGCATATTTTATAGTAAAAGACAGCAGTGGGCTTAAAGAGATGTGGAGAGAGAAATGAGCTATAACTATTCACTAAAATTATAGCCCTCAAGACACAATCTTATGAAACTAAATATTACTATAAAAATAAAGATTATTTCAAAAACTAGGAGATAATTGTCATATATAGGAAAGCAAGAAAGTTCTTTCGAACAAGGTGACCACCATTAGTAATAAAAAAATACAATAAATATTTGAAAACCAAAGAATCATCACAGAACTTAGCCACCAGGATCCTTGTTTAATAATTTAGTATTTCAAAAAGTCCTTTCTGTAGAAACAACTGCTTCTCTTGGTTATGACAGTTCAGTTGACTCAGAGATGCTATAAGTCTGAGTTTTAGACCACAATATCAAACAGCAACTAACTGGAAGCAATGGCAAGTATCGGTCCATATGACAGGTACTTACGGTCATTGCAGAGTGGCCCACTGAAGGAAGTCATACTACAGTCACAGCTGAAGCCATCCCATTGCTGCAAGCACACACCTTGATTGGAACATGAATCTTCTTGGCAGGTTGTGCTGGGCCCTGCAAAGCAATCCAAAAGAAACTTGGGTTCTTTAGAAAAATCCAAACATGTTTTATACATGAGCTAGATCACATATAGTAGTTGCCAACACCTCAAATGACATGTCCAAACCAGTTTTGAAAGTTCCAGTTCACACACCTGAATTAGGAACTGAGAAGCTGTAATATGAAGATTTTCTTAAGTTTCAAGTATAGGTTAAAATACATCATAATCATAAACTAAACCAACAAGTAGTAAAAGCAGTATGATTGCAGTAGCAGATAATTTCATTCCATCATCAATAATTCTTTGTTACCATTTGGATTTTAGGAAATGAATGGATCTCCTTAACTTCTGACCAATGAATAGAGACGTCATGAGAAATGGAGATAACTTCATGAAATTGAGATAAGATTGGCAAAATAACTGAAAAGAGTTATGCAAAAATGCCCTAGAGGTTTCAAAAGATTTCCTGCACAGACTATGAATAAAGTCATGATTGCTGAATGTTTGGATAGGTATGTTGGCAAGTATCAATTCACATGCTTTAACAACTTCATGCAATTAAACAGAAAATGAAAAACTCTGTATAAATGACATGCCCCCATTTAACATACAAGTTTTAAAAAATGCTAGTCTATCATAAGTAGAACACTGAAAAACAAAGAACTAAAAAAAGCATGATCAAAGCACTAAAGGCAATCACTATACAAACATATTCAAGACTGAAAGCCTTTATCCAAACTATGCTACAAAATTAGGCTTCTTGCACAATGTTCAAGAAAGAAAAAAATGAAATCTGAACCCAAATAACAGCACAAAAATGTAAAATATGTTATTTTAGGGTTTCCACTGTGTATTATGGGGTTTCAGTCTTGTTTTATACACACAGGGCTATCTACCTTGCAAGTCAGCTTTCATCAATGCAACTTTGTCAGCAAAATAAAAAAAAAAGCAAAATATATTAAATGTTAGTAAGCAATACTGAAATGGGGCAAACACAGAAAAACGTTCAGATTCAAAAAGCATGCTGCTGTAAAGGGGGAGAAAAAATGCTATGTAGAGCAAACAAATTAATACTAAAAGCCATAAATCTTAAGAGAAGCCAAAAATGAAAAAGCAGTAATTCATTAGAATTTAACTTTACATATGTATATATATAATGGTTAATTGAGCTGATGACATGTAATGAAGGAAAATTAAAAGGGCCTTTGTATCTGTCCTCTCTTGAATAGCTATGAATGCATTACCAAAGTCACTGTGTTGCTTATTTGGAACATGCAGCACCATTTGTCATGTGCAGATACTGTGTAGACAATGATCATTAACAGACCAATTATCTCTTTCTATGTTTTTCCCTCTAGATCTTTTATCTCGTTGCTGCAATTAAGGCTGAAAACTGTAATGTCTGCCATTCGCTGCCAATAGCTGGACTTTAGAGTGACACCAAGCTATATACCGCATAAATGATATTGTACATCATATGAAGTGAAGTAGTAAGAATGGAAGAAGCAAGCTGCAATATGATCCCCCCAAAAGAAAGGTTCTTTATCCAATTTCGATATGGAGTGCTTATCCTTGAACTTGCCAGGTTGGTCATATGCCCTCTAAGAATGTCAGAGTTAAGTCTATCTTTTCTCTAGATTCATAATTGTCTTCAAGTCTTATAAACTGTCCTATAAATGACTATTTCAGTAAAACCTCACTTAGAAGAACTATCTTAGAGAAGAGTGGAAAGGGAATGCTGTCCACCTAAATAGCTTTAGAACAGAAATGGAGGGTATTTTCTAGTAAACAATGTTATACGTTTTATGAAAAGAGACACCAGCTAATTAGATGCTACTCATACAAAAGTAAGAGCCGTTGTGGTACTTGCTTTAGTGAATAAATCAGAATTATCTGTAATTAGCTTTTGTATTAATTGATGTTTTCATAAAATGACTTTTAAACATGTACCTTACAACCACATTTCTATTACAACTTTCTCAATAAAGGTATTCTTCGCTGAAAATTATTGAATTTAGCCTAACCTCTATGAACCCACAGATTCAGAAACCATAATGTTGTAAATCCTAATTAAATAATAATAGGTATAATAATAACAAAAACAATAATGGCAATTTTTATAAGTAGTAACGATAATAATAATCTCCCAGGTCCAGGAAACCTGAAGAGATATAAGGGTATTTTTTTTTCAACTTTTGTAACAGAGAACCAAGAACCACTAAATTGCTCAGCTTATATTTTTGTTCTGACCTGTAAGACATAAGTAATCTACTCATAGCATTAGAGACTGAGAATTATCAGTGTATTTTTAAAAATAAAACCTCTCAAGGCAGTATTCCTTAGTATATTCCTTCCCAAGAGAAACAATGGAACAGGGAGTGGTCAGATGCCATCGTATTGAATGGCTCTTTGCTCTCTGACCTGCACAGCAGAAGAAAAGATCAGAAGCAAGAGTTGATGAAGAGGCAGATTGGTTTTGTTTTTTCAAAAATTGTCAGAAATGCAAAAGCTAAACAATGCTAAACTCTAAAAATGGTAAAACTGCAATCTTAGGGGGAAAAAGTGTCCATCCTGTAGAGCAGCAAATCAGAGTAACCGCCAAATCTCTACGTAAGCACATAAGACATGCTTTATTTTTATTTTTATTACCACAACAGTCTTTTTATATTTGGGTACTACAAGAGAATGCATGCCAATGCCTGACAAGACACATTTTTCCAAGTACTCACCTTCTAGAACAATATTTAAATATTGACAGGCATTGTACAAGCAGAGCCCTGAATTTATATTCCCCTTTAGTTATAAAATGTTGCTTTTATTCTATCACTGAATAAAATTGGGAACAAGCCACAAGGACACTTGTAATAAATGATTAAAAATAAAGATATGTCTAAAAAGAAAAGGAACATGAAAGTAAAACTACAATTTCTAGAAGCCAAAGAAACAATAGAGGAAGGCGGTTAGATGCCTGGGCTTTCAAGTAGGGTTGACTTGGGTTCGAAGTTTATTTCATCCACCTATTAGGTGTGTGACCTTAGGAATGTCACTTTACATCTCTGAGACTCAATATGTTTATTGTTTAAAAATGCAGTAATATCTAATTTACAGAGTTTTGAAGATTAAATAAGACAGTGCATGCCACCAGTGTTTAATCTTATTGTCACTAGTGTTAAATCAATAACTGTTATAATTAAATAGAAAAGTATTTCTGTAGTTATAAAGACATCTAAGGTTAAATGCTATGATAGGTCTACAAAAAAAGGTGTGAAAATTTCATTGACTTTTTTTTTTTTTTTTTGAGTTGGAGTCTCACCCTGTCACCCAGACTGGAGTGCAGTGGCCGCTCCCGGCCACCGCAGCCTCGACCTGCTGGGTTCCGGTGATCTTTCCGCATCAGCCTTCCGAGTAGCTGGAATTACAGGCGCACACTACCACGCCCGGCTAATTTTTTTATTTTATTGTAGAGATGAGGTCTCACTGCCCAGGCAGGTCTCGAACCCGCAGGCTCAGACAATCCACTCACCTCAGCCTCCCAAAGGCGCAGGACTACAGGCCGAGTCACTGAGCCTGGCTTCATTGACTTTTATAGAGAAATTATGTTGACTTTAGTGAGCCTACATATTGGTTGATTACCAGTATCCATTTTTTGATATATAAACAGAAAAGTGCCATCTGACTCAGTAATTGTCAAAGTGTGGTCCCCAGACTAACAGCATCAGCATCATTTGGGAGCTTGTTAGAAATGTTAATTCTAGGGCTCCATCCCGACCTATTGAATCAGAGACCCTGGTAACTATACTCTAATAATTTGAGGTTTGATGAGTCTGCAGGTGATTATGATATAGGCTAACATTTGAGAAACATTAATTTAAGAAGATTTTGACAAGGTAAAATTTCTCCCCTAGCTGAGATGTATTTTATAAATAAAATCAACTATTGTCCACTGGAATAGGTTAGAAATAAAAGGTAGTAAAGTATTATTGAGGGATAATCGAAAGGTTCTTTTGCATGCAAGAGGTCCAAAGATTTGTGAGTCTTAGTGGGTAGAAACAATGAAAAATCTTGACAAGATATTATTTGGTTATGTCAAACTTACACTAAGTATTCTTATGAATATGGAAATAAGTGATTCTAATATGATTTGGACTTAAATTCCAGGACACAACAGTCTTCAGAAAGATAATGAGTTAGGTATCTACAATTGAGTCAATTTAATCCTACAAGTGTGTAACTCTCATCAATTATAGCTATGACAGATACATCTAAGATTATTTCTAGAAACTCTACAGGATATAAATAATCATAAATTCAAAGTTGTTAATCTTAATGTTGGAATTAAAGAATAATAGAAGTGTCCGGGAAAAATATTCTCAGAGTGAGGAAATGGGAGTAAAAAGGGTGAAAATTATTAAAGTTCAGATGTTGAACACATTCTAGATAAAGTAAGGAAAGAACCGATGCCATGATCACCTGAATGAGTTCAAATGCTCAAATAGTAGTTTAAGGTTGCCCAAGAAGATGTGTAAGTAATCATCTTAATGAAATTATTTACTAGAAAAACAGCACCAAATATCATTACTGCAAATGTCCTCTGTTACTATATCTTGTTCCCATTGACTTCTATGCACTTATTCACATCACTCGTATCATATGCCAGTGGTTGAGGTCCCAAGTATTTGTGTCTAGCTTTCTATCTCATGGGCATTTACCTATGGATGCTTCTGTCTGCTTTCACCATTTCTTGTAGGTAAGTAGTCACTTACCAAGCAACTTGTAGGAAGACCTATTTTTAAAAAGTGGGCTGGGAGGCAACCTCCTGGGGTCCCCTCCCACTCTGGAAGGTTTTCTGTCCTCTCAATAAATCCTGCTTTTAAAAAAATTGTTTTTCAAAAGAGTGTGTAGTACTCTTTCTTTAAAAAAAAAAAAAAAAACAAGCCGGGCTCGGTGGCTCAGCCTGTAATCCCGTGCCTTTGGGAGGCTGAGGTGAGTGGATTGCCTGAACCCGCGGGTTCGAGACCCGCCTGGGCAGCGAGACCTCATCTCTACAATAAATCAAAAAATCAGCCAGGCGTGGTAGCGCATGCCTGTCATTCTGGCTACTCGGAAGGCTGAGGCGGAAGGATCTCCGGAGTCCAGCAGGTCGAGGCTGCGGTGGCCAGGAGCGGCCACTGCACTCCAGTCTGGGCGACAGAGTGAGACTCCAACTCAAAAAATAAAAATAAAAAATACATATCTCACTAATTAGATTACCTCCAAGAACAAAAGTTATTTCCCATATTCTAATTGTCTACCAACAGGAATTGATTTACTTAACAATTTTATTTCCTTGACTGAATTGGTAAAAGAGAAAACACATAGTTTGCTTTCATTTTCAAAAGTGTTATGCCAAAATTTGAAATAAAGAAAATACATATGGTGACAACATTAAAAAATGAATTCACCAAAGCCTTCCATTAATAACCTTATCCTCTGGTATTATTAAAACACAGTTTGAATTCCACCTAACTTTTCATGGAAACACATGGTGAACAGAAGGGGGAAAAGGTATTTTCAAATAAAAAGTTGTCATGTACTTAGGTAATTGCTAAATATAATGGCATTATCTGGGCTGAGAAGAAATGATTCATATTCTCCTGGGGATAAAAATTCACATTCAGCCGGGCTCGGTGGCTCAGCCTGTAATTCCGCGCCTTTGGGAGGCTGAGGTGAGTGGATTGCCTGAGCCCATGGGTTCGAGACCCACCTGGGCAGCGAGACCTCATCTCTACAATAAATCAAAAAATCAGCCAGGCGTGGTAGCGCATGCCTGTAATTCCGGCTACTTGGAAGGCTGAGGCAGAAGAATCGCTGGAGCCCAGCAGGCGAGGCTGTGGTGGCCGGGAGCGGCCACTGTACTTCAGTCTGGCCGACAGAGTGAGACTCCAACTCAAAAAAAAAAAAAAAATTCACATTCTTTCTTCTATTTCTCTCATATGAAAATTCCTTATGAATCTAAAATTTTCAAAATGGCCCAAACTGTGTTCAATATTAAAGAAGCAGTCACGAAATTCATGATAATATGATTAAATTACATTTATGGAAGAAGAATTGGCTCAAATAATCTGAGGTGTTGAAGCGAAAATTATCTAAAATGAAAGTAGCAATCAAAAAGTACTCCTACAGATCTAGGTCTGATAGAGAGCACAAAATAACAGAAGATACTTTAGAGCATTTCTGATGTAAGGATTATTAGCCTTGCATAATATAAGAAACCTATTTTTGCTAAAACAAACTGGTAATATATAGGATACATTCTTCCTTCCAGGCACACACAAATCAAATGGTGCTTTGAGAATAGGGCATTGAAATTTATTCTCCTGTTATATCCTATTGAATGTAGATTTATGAAAGATGGGCTCAGGTTGATTAATATATGCTGGGGTAGGTATAATTTTCTAATCTAAAATGGGATATTTATTAATGTTATAAAGCAAGTATTGCAGAACTGATTAACAAACTAATTAGGCGAACTTTAGAATGCAAAATAACAAGACCCAAAGACATAGCTTCCATTTTACATTAGGCATTAGTATAAGCTTGCAGACAGTCCAGAGAATTTAGGATTCATGTGATGTAGAGAAATGAATGAATAAGGATCTCTAAGCTCTAAGTGAGAATTTGACCAGTTACCAGAATTTTTCTGGCCAGTAAGATGTGTTCTCATTTTTAGGTGGAACTAAAATTATTTGGAATGTAATAACAAAAATTTAGTACCTTCACATCCTCTCTCAATCTGTCCACTGCAGAAAAGAGCATCTGAGATGAGGTCCGGAAGCCGTCCATTTAAATCAACTGATGCCAGGCAGCCTTGAAAGCCTTCCTTGGCGTGGACAAGTTTTGGCAATGATTTGTATGTTTCTTTAGCTACTCCACCTATATATAAGTCACCTGTGGAAAGATCAAAGTCTTTGTCACAAAAGTAACATGTCATTGACATTAAATACACAGTAAAATGGAGAAAAAATAGTGAAGTTTATTTTTCATTAAATTAATAAAGTAAATTTATGACAAGTTATTTTTTAGAGTGCAAATCAATAGAAGTGTTTGAATAATATATTATCATTAGAAGAAATTTCTAGAAGCTATTTCACAGACAATTAAAGTAATACCATATGGTATGGCAGAGTGGAAAGAACACAGGACATAGAGATGCATACCCCTGCGCTGAAATCCAGATCCTGTTACTTACCAAGTTAATGGCCCTGAACTTTTTTTTTTTTAAGTTTCTTTCATCATTAATATCCTCACATCTAAAACAGGAACAATAAAACCTAATTGTAGAGTTGCTGTGAGGATTAAATGAGATGAAATATAGGAAGCACCAGTTGTTGTAAATATATGTAACAGACTTTCGGTCAATTGGCATTAATATTACTATTCTCCTCTCCTTAGCAAATTCTGAGTCTTTCAGTTAATCAGAAGTTCAAGAAGTTTTTTCCAGTGTCTAAAGTCACCTTCTATACTTTGCTGAAGCTCATTATCCTTGCTTGTACCTTTCCTGTTCACCAACTCACTCCCATAATAGTCAGTATATGACTGAACATCACATCCTTCTTCAGGTGTTCCTTTTTTAAGGTAAAATGACACCACTTTCAATTTTTTATGCTTCTCTGGGATCTGTTAACAAGTTATCAACTTATTTTTCTGATTTTATGCAATTTCTAATGGAACACTTTGCTCCGCTTTGTCATCTTCTTGTCTTTAGGTTTGGGATTTTTTTAACTTTATAGGCCACTACCTTAAAAAAGAGATTGCAACTCATGTTTGATTCTGTTTCTTCTCCTATTGTAGATTATTAGTGATTATTATTATATTGGAATGGCATTCAGTAAACGTAATTAACTGACTCTAGAAAAGACTTAATGAATGCAGGTCATAAGGAGGGTGACCTCAAAATTCCATAATAAACTGCTTCTGTCTATGGTTTTAATAACATACTCTTTCTAGCTACTTCTCCGACTTTTCATTTTCATTTAAATTTTCTTTCTCATATTAACCAGTCTATCCAGCTTTATGTTATTTGACATATTTTCCTCAGTGTAACATAAAACCCCCGCACTCCTAATGTTCATCTGGGCCCCTCTGTGTTTTCTTCATGGGACTTGGCAGCGGAGGGAACTGACACACATGATATTTGTTGAACCATGAGTAACAAAGTCCTTGGTCTCTGACCCAAAAATCTCACATCTTCTGCAGGCATCCATGAAATAGTAATAAGCTAACATGTTAGCTTGTAAGTAGGGTAAAATCAAACCACAGATCTAATACTCCTGACTTTTTTTTTTTTTGGTAAATGAATTAAAATTGAGAGATCATATAGCGTGTTCAAAGTCATTTAGCTTTAAAAATTGAGAACTTAGGTCCCTTGACCTGCCACCTAAAGTTTTAAGTATTGTACTAGGATGCCATTGAGCCTATACAATTTGTACTGAAAGTACTGGATGTTTTTACTTTCCTGACCCTTAAATAAAATAAACATCTGTTAACTACTAACCATCATTCTTAATATTAAAAGATAGCATGTTTTTGGTCTGAGACGGGATACTATTTTTATGGGATTTTTAAATCTTTTTCCAGTACCTTTCCTTTCTCTTCTTTGTTTTTACTCTCAATTAATATCAAACCATTGTGTTTTAGTTGCCTCAGAGAAAGAATAGACATCAGAAATCAAAGATATAAAATTAGCTATCTGTATTTGGGTCTTAAAGGCCTAAACTCTGGTAGGAATGAAATAGACAGCATGCACAGGCATTTACATGAGAAAAGTAAAGCTTTCCTGCTCCTCACTCAAGCAAGCAGGAGATAAAGTTGGAAAAGCCTAGTTGGTCAAGCACAGTCATTGATTAATGCCAAAAAGAGGGCACAATTTCTAACTTAAGGGTTGAGCCCTGCGTGCATTTCTTCAGGAGAACCAAGAGACAGCAGTGAGATCCTTGAGAAGAAACGGCAACATGGTAGATATTGACAAGCTGGGTGCTTAGACAGCCTCTCAGAACTTTCCATACTCCACTGTGGTATAGTAGTATAGAACAATTTCGAGAATGACACAAAACTAACAGAAAATATCTGATCTGAACAGGTCATGAACACAATAATGAGGAGGTTGGGTGGCAATTCAGGAGGTGCCTGAGTTGTGACTATCTAATATTTAAAACCAGCTTTCATACTACCTCTCTACCTCCCCTCAAAACTAGTACAATGCAACTTCCTCCCCCAACCAATAATTTAGACATAACTCCAGAAAAATAAGGGAATTAAATTGCCTGATATTGTATTTTTACTAACTCCAAGAATCAAAGCTCAAAGCAGAAACCAAGGTGAGTTATAGAAAAATAGAAAAGCTACCTTTCTTGTACATCAGAGATTGATGGCTGAGATTTATACTTTTACATATCAAACAGCAATGCAAGGAAATGCTACCTACTTTCATTTGTTGAACTAAATTTGTTAGAAAATTTTCAGCTCTCCTTCAAGTCTAATGAATGTAGTATTAGAGAACAGTGGGGAATTGAATGAAGAATTCTTGGCACGGCTTCAGGCTTTTCAGATGTAGAACTTAGTAATGAAAATTATGTATGTAATGCTATATATTTAATAATCCATCTTCCTCTCTGTCTGATTGCAATCTCCTGGAGGAGAGAGACTGTGTCTTTATTTGTTTTAGATTTTCCCATAGTGCCTAGTACTGAGCTCTAAGCACAGTGGGCATTCATTAAATATTGTCAGCTACCTGATGAATTGAGATCACAGTAGGAAAGAATAAAGAAAGAAAAAAGAATAGTAAGGCAACATATGGGGAGAAAGCTTATTCTAAAATGCACTTGCTTCCTCTCCCTGCTTCCTACCACAATTCCTATGTTTCCCTATTAGCAAACTTATTTGCCCAACAACATTTTAAAGCTTATTGAAGAGAAGCAGTAATTTTTCCCCTGTGTTACTAAAGAGAAGAAAAGATCAATTCAAGCAGTATAGGATACAAGATTCAAACATATCAAGGTAGATGAGTTTGGCTTTGCAATTAGGGGACTCATTCTCATTTTCATTACAGAAGCTGCACTTAGCACCACCACTTAGTACAGTTTTTATAAAGTCTTCATATAGTGGTCTAAAGTCCCATGGTAGGTCACCATATAAAGAGAACAAAGGAAACCCTTAAGTGGTCTTAAGCCTTGTTGTACCATTACCACTTCATCAAAGATGCAGCTTCTCTTTTTCATCTTTGGAGTCATTTTTAAAAAAATAAGACCTATTAGAACTAATGGGTCCTTGCAGGCAAAGTCCTTGTGCAGCCATGTACAGGAGGATATACTTCTTAATGGTCCTGTGTCTGAACAAGGGTTGGAATGGACATTGATTAAGAACCAAGTTTCCTGTAGATTTGAAGCTACCTGTTACCCTTCTTCAAGTTGAATGGCTGGTTTTTGTTCACACACTATAAGTAGACCATGTATGCAATTGATAAGGCAAAGGTTGAATTGAAGCACCTTCAGCAAAAGATGCAGAGAACAAGTATAAAACCAGTCAACCTCAAATATTTTGGAGGTGAATTACTTAAAGACATCTCAATAATATCTTTATTTCTAGCACTATATATACACAAACACTATGTTCCTCTCAAGAGTGCTATCTGTGAATGACCTGAAGTGATATCACAAGTATTCACTCCCCAGTCATTGGGCAGTAAAGACTAAGGAATAGTGCACAGCCTTTTTAATTATATCTGACTACAAATTCAAGCTCTGACCCTCACCGATTGTCTCAGTGTAGGCACCATAAGTTACATATCTCCAGCCAGGTACAGTGGCTAACGTCTATAATCCTAGCACTTTGACAGGCCGAGGTGAGAGAATTGTCTGAGCCCATGGGTGCAAGACCAGCCTGGGCAACTTGGCGAGACCTCATCTTTACAATTAAAAAAAAATTAGCTGGGTGTGGTGGCGTGTTCCTGTAGTTCCAGTTACTCGGAAGGCTGAGGTGGAAGAATCGCCTGAGACCAGCAGGTCAAGGCTGCCAACCTAAACAACAGAATGAGACTCTGACTCAAAAAAAATGAAAATAAAAATAAAGAAAGAAAACAAAAGGCTAGACTTGACTGGAAGAGAGGGGTTTTCAGCTATTTATCAAATAATGTGTATAATGTTGCATAAGTAAAGTCAAGGGAAAGGCTTAAGTAACACTATAGAATTTATGACTACTACTGAGTTTAAAAAAAAAAAAATCCAAAGATGGAAGTTAGGCAAGCTGGAAGATTAGGGAATTTGAGGCAGTAATAATTCTGAGGAGAGATGAAATTGCATTTAACATTATATATGTGGAATTTGCATAGGAATATCCCATAGGAATCTATTGATATGAACCTGGGGCTCAGGGAACAGATGTTGGGGCTTGGAGGTATGGTTTGGGAGCCATCAACCAAAAGTCGATAAATGAAGTAATGGAGGAGGTTTTCTCTTCGCTTAAAACAGGGAGCATAAGGCAATTAGAAAAGGCTCCAAGCTCTGCTTTACTGTAGCAGAATGCAAGTGTCAAGGTATAATTAGTTCGTTGACTCAGCTTTCCTGTTTATTCATGTGCACTTTTTTGTACTTCTTAAACATCTCACTTTCATTTTAATTAAAAAGAGCATACAAAAAAAGGACAAGCGCTTTGTAGATTTGGATAGCTAAAACTCTAGGGAAACTTAAGGAGACTCTTCTAAGTGGCATTTGCAGGAAGGAAAAAAAGCTGACTGACGTCATACACACTGGCTTACTTTTCTATGGCTAGAATGGAAAAAATACAATTCTAGAGGCTATGTTCTGAGAAGATTGGACCTTAGACAGAAAAATGTGTGTACAATCCTTACTTTCTTGCAAAATTCTTGTTGTGCTTGAGTAATAGAAAAAGTG